AAGAATTTTTTGTCTGCTTTATAAGAAAATGAAGTTTACCCAAAAACGAAAATAAATTTTCTTATAAACCATATATAAACGACCCTGTCGAATTAAAAGCAAAATTTAATTCACATAAACCTATCTTCAAAAACTGTTTACATGTGGGCTATAAGAAGCTTAAAATTTTTTACGGTATTGTATTCCATACAATAAGCGACGTGTTGTGTTAGCACCAAATTTCGCATATTGAATTTTCAACATAAAGTCCGTATAAGGGAATAGTAAAAAAATTATTTATTGGAAGATGTCCATCCACCTGTTTAGGGTCTGGCCATGGGAGTGCTTTCATTTTAATTGATTTCGATTTTCATAAAAATCGTATTATTATTACTTTTAGGATGTAATAAATATTGTTTAAAATTTTTAGGATATGCCATAATTCCAGCTACTTAGTACATGTCTATTTTATGTTTTAATGTTTTTTACGAAAATTATGGACTGATTCCTCACAGTATCACAGTAAGAAGTCAACAGGAAACAAGAAATAACTACATACATAATATTGTAAATATTTTTTAAAAATATGATATTTTAAATAATGTGCTTATTGATGAATTTTTAGAGTTTCACTACTTTTGCTTATTTTTTCAGAAAACAAGGTATAAAAAAAGTAGAGTAAATAAACTTGCACTTTACATTTGTATACAACTCCAATTTTGAGTTTAAATCTAAAATCATCTAAAATTTTGACGTACATATATTCAGAATTTCAGAGATTTTTTTATTCAATGTAACAACGTTAATAATTTTCACACTGCTTTTTGAAGTAAAAAAAATTTAAAGTAGTTTTAAAAAATAACTAGTTGGTTAACATTATAATTTTGTATACTTGCAACATTTTTGTTAAAATGAATTTTATTTACAATATATACGTTACGGATAATCATCCAACTTTATTTTTTAATAAAAGAAGCAATCTTTTGAAACAAAGACAAACCTAATTTTCTAGTTAATACACAGTATTTTTGGTTTCTTCCAGTTTTAACTTGTTTTCTTTCCAGACAATAAACTGAATTCTGTGTTTTATGTGTTGTTTTTACTTAGTCACAAACTTAACAAAGCGACTAAATAAAGAAACAACTTTGCTCTTAATATTTTTTTTATTGTAATTAAATAACCCTGTTCTTAAATCATAAATCTTTTAATGTTTAAAATTTTTTTAAACTTAAAATTCTTGGGAGCTGTTACGTGGCTAAATATATACGTTTATGTATTTATAATAAGTACCAGTAGTGGAAAATGAATTGACAAGACTTTAAAGCCGCATTGTATTTGGTGTTAAAAATAACTTTAAAAAATCTGAAGTGGTCAGCACATAACCGACCTCAATTTAGTAAGGTTTTAGTTAACATACCTAGAAAAATGTAAATTTGGCTCTTAGTGCAGTTTCGCTTTGTGCCATCCGAATTCCCTGAAAAGCTCGCAGTTTATTTCGGTAACAACCAGAGCTCAAATAAGAAATTTCAAGAAATTCCAACAATTAGTTCCTTAGATATTGTAAAAAACGTAGAATCGGCTCCCAATTTGGTTTCCGAGCCCTGACCTTTCTAAAAAACCGGCGGATTCTTTGTTTTAGTACTCAAATTTATATATTAAATTTCAACAAAATTGGTTGATTAATTCTCCTTATATAGGCAAAAGTGTAAAATTTGCAAGAAAAAACTGATCACCAAAAGCTGATCAATCCGTGCCATAGTCGAAATAAACTTCAGCCGAACTTGAGATAAACGTGTACACACACAGACCGACAGACAGACAGACAGACCGTCAGACCGACACCTCTCTAAAAACAGTTCATTTACGCTTCCCTACTATGGAGAAGTACGATCCCACTGAAAACTCGATATACAACATTTGTTGCCATCACATCACCTCACATATTGTATGCAATTGCGGCCGGTAAAGAGGTGGACCAACAGATCAAGGGTGAAAAGTATTCAATATACAATTTATTATAAAGCATTCAAAAAGTTGTTCATTTTATTTAATGAAGGTAATTTAAAGTTTCTTGAATTGTTCTTTCTGGGGAATCAATTTTTAATATCATATTATATGTACATAATCTGTCAATAAAATATTAATTACCTAGATTGGTTTTTAAAAAAAAATTATGTAGGAATGCAATTATTTCATATATAAACAATAAGGACCGAAGGTTTTAAACTTATACAAACTGGTACTTATAATAGAAGCAGGAAGACAAAATAATTCTATGGAATTATGGATCGTGAATAGAGAATGAATTTTTTAGCTGTTTTATGAGCCATTCAATACTTATGGATGTATCTTTCTACACTTAGCCTATATTGAGGCAAAGTAATTGGCAGAATATCTATTCTGTTCAAAATACTCAACAGAATTAAAACGGTTAATTCATTTCGAATTTTTCGTTTTGTTTACTAGGCGTGAGATCTAATGATTTATTTGGAATTGATTCATTATATTTTAAATATTATGGAAAAATCGTTATTTTTATTATTAATATATAATATGTATATAATATGTATATAACATAATTATTCAATTTCATTTAAACAAAACAAAAAAAAATATGAATTTCCAAATTTTTAACTTACAAATTCTGTATAACCTCCTATTAAGGTATTCCAACAAGATCTCAAATATTTTTTTTAGTTCCATATTCTTTATCTAATTCAACTTTTAAAATTCTTTTTCAATTTTAAAAGTTGAATTGAGTTAAAAAATTATGATGACAAATCATCTTCAGAGCAAAAACGTGGAAATCAATCAAAAATAATTTGATATCATACGAGATTCGTTTAACACAGAGAGGTTGCTTTCAAATTGCGCAACATAAAAAAACTGTCTTTAATTTATTATAAATTTAAATAGAAATGATTAAGAATTAGTTAAAAGTTTCTTGATTTGGCAATATAGTTTTAGCGCTTTTTATCGCTATTTTTAATGGGTACGAGTACAAAGTTCTAAAATAACATAAATTTATGACTTTATCTTATAAGCAGAAATAAGACAAAGTGATGAATTTTTTGTTTATTCAAAATACACACCTTATGTACTGAAAAAGACGAAGGAAGATTTTTTGTAATTATTTTGTTTTTTATGTAGATCTTGATTACTCAAAAACTAAAAAAATAGCAAAGCTGATAAAACTAATTGGATTACATGAAGCCCTCACAAAAGATGCATTGCATATAGAATATTTACGATTTTAACAAAATACATTGATTTGCTTGATAACTCTATTTTAGTTGAAAAAAATTCAAAGAAAACTGAAACAATATTATCATTTTTTTTAAGAACTCATTATAAAAATATTTCATTAACATTTTAGAACATGAAATGATTCATCCGCTACCTTGCAGATATGCTTCCGAAAACACGGAATGCCGGTATTTAATCTAACTTTAAGCTGTACTTTGTAAGTTAGTAATTTTAAAAAAATTTATATGTACACTCCTTATAAAAGGAGTTAAAATTTTCTCAAAGCAAACTGCACAACCAAATATAACAATATCCAATTTTTAACAATTATACTTATTAACCTTGCTGCGTTGTGATATGGAGCGTTACATAGTTGCACTCTAGTAAAATTTAGGAAATCCCAGAAATTTTACAGAAAAAATTTTAAATTTTTTCACTGTTTGATAATGACGATGATTCAATGAATCTGTTAAAAGAATGTTGATCCGATCCCTTTTCTATTTTTTTAAGCATTTCAAAATGTCGATATGCTGCTTCAATTTCTTATTTACGAGTACTTATACACACTCTAAAAAAAATTTGTTGAATTTTACTACAATTATTGTAGGCAACCAATTTACAACAGTCACTGTTGTAAAAATACAACGCTGTAGTAAAATTAAACAAGCAATAGTATATTTACACTTATTTTGTGTAAATTTTTTACAACAATTATTATGGTAATAATAAACATCAATTGTAGTGAATTTACTCAGGAAATTGTGTAATATTATACTATAACGACGTATTTTTACTATAATTATTGCAGTAGTTATAAACTATTAATTGAGTAAAATTACTCTCGTCATTGGAATTTTACGTAAGAACTTGTTGAATTTTCCACATAAATTGTGCATTTTTATACTAAAATAAAAATTTCACTGCTAAATTCCAATCAAAACTACTTTACCGACGTTTGCAATTAGAAAATTTAACTAATTGAATTTATATTGGAAATCATAAAGAAGAATATTTCAGTGTATTGTTATGTGGTGTTTTTATATTTACGTACATATACGAGTTTATTATATGCATACACCAGTATATAATATTAATTAATATATAATTTATAATTAATGTCTGAAATTTTTCTTATATTTTATGAAAGCATTCATTCATTTAAATTTTATAATTGCAATTGTCTGTTAAGTTGTTTTACTTGTAATTTAACAATTTAATTTTTATTTTACATAAAAATGCACTAATTTAGAACAAAATTTAAAAATTTTTTCTCCTCAAGATTATGAGTCTGGACAGAATTTATATAAAATATAAAACATAATAACTTTTTATTGTGCAGTCTACTTTTATTAATTCAAAATTTACTTCTTATATTATATACATACATCAAAACATATGCATAAGTCACAATCTGTACACTTCTGTTTTTCTATTTTTTAATAGGCAAACATAATTTATATTAAAAAACTTAATAACAAATCCTAAATTTTCAAGGTCATTTCTTTGCCAATCAAAAATATAATCTTTATATTTTACCTATCCAATAATTTGTATTCTAATAGCCATTTTTGATATAGCCAACTATTTGTACATTTTATTTTTTTATTCTCATAAAAAAATTAAATATACAAAAGTTAACGTTTTATTTTTGTTATCCTATCATTATAAAAATATAATTTATAGTTTAAGTTTCTAATAAAATTTTTAGACACATTGCATTTTTTTTATCATTAAAGTAAATAAATTAGTATTAATGTTGTATATCGATGTACATGTTTTATATTATGATAATTTAAATTTTTTTGTTTATGTCGTATTGGATCTTAATTCATCTAATCTTTTTATCAAATTATTTATTTTGCACATGTTACTAATATTTTTTTTCTTGCCACGAATTTCTTCTGGGTAATACTTGTAAAAAAATCTTACAAAAAACTCATAAGATTGTGACATTGATTTTGAATACATGATGTTAAAAACATAAAAAACAGCTATAATCTCTATTAACAGATCCAAAATTTCTGGATTCTCATGAAATGCAACTGGAGATTTTTCCAAACTAATGTATCCCATTTTCTTCTCTACCGATATATCTACAAATTAGAAATTAAATAAGAATTATTCTTTGTCAAAGTTAAGGAATACGTTTCTCGAAATTCCCCATAATTTTATCATCAACTTTTTAATTTTTTATAATGCAATAATATTTAGATTTATAAACTTACCAACGATTGCTATCCATGGACCTGAAGTTGGGGATGCTTCGATTATTTCATCTAAAGTAGTCCCAAGCTAAAACATAAATTAGATAAGATAAGATAAAAATTCGACAGTAGTAATAACAATTTTATGATTTTGTTTGGAGCCCACACTCACTTCAAACTTTTTGTAAAACAAATTTTGGTCCTCTTTAAAATGCATTATTACCGCACATATAATTTTTTCATCATTTATTTCGTTTGCAAAAAAGCTTTTTATTGTTTTGTTCTGCATAAAGTGTTCGTAGAGAATTGGTTTCTCAGATGAAAATTGTTTTTTAAAATGCTCAGGATTTAGATTGGTTAATTCTGTAAAATGTTGAAACAAACATGATTTCTCAAAAATAAATGGCCAGTTTTCTTTTACGTCTCTTACTGAAGGAACTTTGTCAATACTATTGAAATATAATCTTTGAAAGGGAAAACAATCCTTCATATATTGTAATATAATCTTTTTTTCTTCGCTATTGTGTTCTCTCCCATAAACTTGTTGCAAATACTGTTTTTTTCCGTCCAAAGTAAGTTTAACCTCTTCTGATAATTTATTTTTTGGTTGCCAATTTTTTACAGATCCTTTTAGTATATTTGTGGTTTTTCTATTCTTAATATGAACTGGTGTTCCTGTTTCAGAATTACTTTTACGTGGAGGGCGGTTGAGAAAATTATTTCTGTTTCTCATAGTTTCTACTAGAGCTATTGGTGAAGAAGAAACAACTTGCTTGTCAACATCAAATTGTAAAAATGAATCTGGATATTCAGATACTGCTTGGTGAGCAACCATACGAAAAATTTTCATGGGAATAAAAAAAGTTTTACTACGCAGTTCATCTACGATAATGTTGGCAACTGAATTTATTCTTTTTCCTATATTCTGTTTTAATTTCAACATGTCAATTACATCGAATGGCATTTTATTCCACGGTATTTTAAAATTTTCTAAAAGTTTTGTACACTGGCTATTGGTACTGGATGAAGAAGACAAAACTCCACTACTCATAGATAACGTTTCAGTATTGGATACGGATTCTTGTGATTCATTTACAAATGCATAGGAAGAAGTAGATGCAATTGGTATATATACTGCCGCTAGATTACTATAGTATGATGATTTTTTGTTGATTTGTGTCTCTATTAAATTATTAGGTTCTGCATTTTCCAATGCTGGCAATATCTCCAAATCTAAATACATAAAACAAATTTGATTAATAAAATAAAAATTACAATAAAAAATTCATAAGATAACATAAGATAAAGATTTTTATAATACAACCTTTCAAAATACTAGAATTGATTTTCTGCGAGCTTTCATAATCTTTTCCACTTAATATAGCTGACAAATTCAAATCAGGAACCCATTCTTCTTCATCGTCCAATAAAATAAAAATTTGATTTTGGTTTTTTGAGTAATACTCAAGAAGTTCGTCATCCATTATTTTAGATCCAGAAGACTCTAGAACTAGTTGAGATCCAATTATTCCGCGATTTTTTGCTGCAACATACGTAAGAGAAAATGTAGATGGATTCTAAAAAATAATTAATAACTTAATTCATGGGTAAATACGTACCTTTTTCAATGACGTCTTTAATGGTTGGCATAGATAAAACTACGATCTTTAAAGATCTATTTGCATTCCAAATTTGGAATGGTACAGGTGACATTTTTTTTATTATTTAGTATATCTACTTTAAAATTTTGCTGTTATATAACAAACTTATATGCATACAGAAGTAAAAATAAAAATTTATATTTACATAAAAATTTATATTTACATAAAAGCAAATTCTGACAAACAAAATCACAATTGTTGCATTTAAAAGTCATGGTGAATTTTACTTTTATTAAAATTTATAATATTTTAAATTAAAATTTTTAAAATCAAAGTATTAAATATTTTAAATATTTTAAAATAATATCCAATTTTTTTTAATATTTTAATTTACCACAATTTTTGAAATACTTAACAAATGTAAATGAATAACAATGAAAAACAAAACACACGCGATATGTTTAAAGTCCAGCGATCAACTGATATTAAAATCATATTTCATAAAATAACTGCGTATAATCTTTACACTAAAATGTTGAAATTTACATTGGTTTTTGTTTATAATTACACAAAATGTTTATTTTTACACGTTTATATGTGTAAAATTAAGCAAATAACATTTTTTTGTTGAAATTTACACATATTTCTGTGAAAATACACGATTTTTTGTTGAATTTTACACAAAAAGTTTATTTTTACCATTTTAATATTATTTACTACAATCACTGTAGTATTTTTACTATAGCAGTTGAATTTTAAACATGAGAATACTATAATAATTGTAGTAAATCGTGTTTAATTTTACACACTTTTTTTAGAGTGCATTTAAAAAATTTGATACACAATATCGAAAAGATTAATAAAGACAAACAAAAAGAACATTGACAGGTGCTGTATACCATTCAAATTCAGCTCCATTCATACGAGTATAACGCCTAATGATTTATTAAATAACTATTTAATTATGGTTACATCTTAATACTCGCATTGCAATAAACATCATCATAACAATAAAATTCGTACCTATAATTTATTTTATAAATTACTTTTATTCTTTTTTATTTTTTCTTATTATTATTAAAAGTTATTTAATAATATTGATTGTTATTTTTATTATTATAAATATTACAAAATAGTTGGTTTTTAAAAATTACAGGTGAATTAATATAATATCTTAAGAAATTACCATAAAGTATAAAAAAGAAAAAAACAAATACAAGAAAAATATAAAAAAGTGATTTCTTCAAGGTAAACATCATCGTGCTGAAAACAACGACGTCGTATTGGATTTGTGGTTCATTCATACATTCTGATGTTAAAATTTTTACACGAAACAGAAAAAACAGAAGAACAAAATATAGTAAAATTTTTACTCGGTTCATTTACGAGTAGTTTTGGTTGGATTGGATTGTTGTAGATTATTGGTATTACTTGAATTTAAAATATCATGGCAATAAAAATGCATTTATGTAAAATATACGAGTTTTTTTTTTGAAATTGGGTTTACTTATGTACAATGAAATAAAAGCAGTTACCTATACAGATGCGCGAATATTTTACGTTAAACTTCTAGCCGGAAATAATATTATTAATAAATAAATATAAGTTGTACTTTTCTTTACATAAATAAAGAAATTATTAACAACATTTTTCAACACAAAACTATGTACATATGTATGTACATATGTATAACTGGAAAATTTTATAAAATTGAAAAATATGGACATCATTGAAAAACATGGACATAATATAATAATATTCTTTAAGAATTATTAAAATGGTTCAATTTAAAATATCAAAATATTTTTAAATTCATAAAAGTTTTGCAGTTTATTCATAAGAATTTTAGCGAACATTTAAGGAAAACAACATTTTTTTTGTAAAATATTTTAAACCTAAATTTTATATTAAGTGAAATTACTTTCCTATATTCTTTAGTCATTCGTTTTAACATAAAAATCGGTTCTCAGGCTAGTTTAAAAATTCCAATTCGTTCATATTTTATGTACATATTTCGAATTTATTAATGAAATTAAAAAAATAGAAAAAAATTGTTTAAAAAGCAAAATAATTGAATACATCGGCTACTTGGTTAATATTATTTCTATAGCAAAATTCAGTACTTTGTATTCATTATATATATCAGTTTTTCCGCTATTGACAATATCATTGAAATGAATTGTTACTTAAACTTTCATGATTGAATGTATTTGACATATATATCATATACATACAATATTATACAGTTTAGAGACCTTAAACAAACTGGCATTTGCCTGGGGGCGTAATTTTTAAGGCCCGGAAATTATGTTTTCACTTTTTATATACTAACGAACATGTGTTCAAAGGCTCTAATAAATTTGCCTTATCATTTGTAAAGCTAAGAAATAATGTTTTAGGATATAGACATAAGTGTATGTTTTTAATCAGCGTCGAATTTTGAGTAGCTTTAAGCATGTCTATCCGTCCGTCCCAAGAACTCTATTTTAATTAGATGTGATCGAGGCAGTGGTTCGAGTAGCTGCTCCCCAACTTCAAAAGTTATATGACTATATAAAAGAAATTATTGAAGCTACAATATCGAAATTTTGTGTCAAATCGAAAATGGGGATGTTATTTTACTTGAAAATTTTTAAAGGTGCGCTACTGAAATTTTACAAAAATAAATATGGTAATATGGTCATTATTTTTGGTAAAAGCTATTAAGATATCATAAGCGCTTATGATAGCTGCTATAAATCCTCTTAAGTTATTTGAATAGATTTCAGAAGTTAAAGAACCTACAGCATTGAAATTTCGCACAAGGAATATTTGATTAGGACTCTTTTATTAAAACTAGTTGAAATTAATTGACTTGTGGCGGTAACTGAAATTGCCATACAATTTCCTAAGGCATTTACTAGTGTATTATGGAAACTATTGAAATTACAGTGCTGAAATTTCGCATGAACGAATAAAAACCATAGCACAGAGTTGTTATCAACACTAATTACTTAAAATCATCCATATTTATTCTCGTTAATTTTAATAATCAATGTTAATTTTTTTTAACAGAAAAAATTCATATTCATTATTATGGCTAAAACCTTTCCACACCATGCCGAATCATAGATTTATAAAGTCCGCAAGTGTGGACTAAGATTTCCGTGCTAGTGCATTCCCGCCGCCTGTGTGCCATGCGTATAAGTATGATTTGCTTCGAAACTATCGGTCTTTTACTACGCACATGTTTAAAAAGTCAAACCAGAGACACCTTACCAACTTATTAAAAGCTTACTTATTAGAGATAACTATATTTCTATTGTTTAGGAAATTTTCTAAAGCTAAAATTATTGCTATTTCGTTTCAGAAAATTACCGAGTTAAAAAAAATGTTACCAAAACAAAAGGGCTCAATAATAGAATGTAGAAAAGGTAAAAAATCTTATGTGGCCGGCTAAGTGAATTTTTTTGTTTAGTGAAAGTGCTGCACAACATTACGAAAATTTCCTTAAAACACTTCTTTTAAATTTTAAGAAAGTCAGCAAGAATTAAGGTGACATGCCTACAAAAATGTATTACTTAGAAATGTATTTTTGTCGCTGACATGGCTTCCCTTATTGGAATGCAGCCGCAAAATATCCTATACTGACAAAACATGATGAGTGGTGTATTTTCTTTCTCTCTGAAAACGGTACTTTAATAAAGCCAATACATATGATTAATATGATCAATTAAGAATATATTGAAAAATTTTCCACCAGCTGTAGTGGGTTTTTTTTTGATAAATGAACCCTCTATTAAGAATAATTTTGCCAGAAACGATAACAATTTTTTTTTGCTAAAGTCTTTAAAAACCAAGTAAATATGTTTCAGTCGGTCTAATTAGACTGAATAATATCCTGCAGCTCATCTGCAGGGTATTATTTGTAAAGGCTTGTTTTTGAAACTAATAATTAGCTTTTATGGTTTGTATGGCAGACCATCCCATGGCTGCAAATTCTCATGAATCCGAATATTTAAAACGAGTTTTTGCAGTTATATGGTAGTTACCCGAACCTGTCAAGCTATTCCAAACAGACTTCAAGAATACGTGTGTGTGAAGTATATTTAGACAAATGACTGCCAGATCCCATGAGCCTAACTTTATTGTTTTCCGAATAGTTACAATTGGCTTTTGGAGTTGTGTGGCAGTTACCCGCACCTCTTAAGCCATTCAAAAAAACACTTCAAGGATATGAGTGACCTATAATTTTACACATGAACCTATCAAGTCCTTACATAAATACTTCTGAGGTATTTCTTATCCATAATTGTGTGCATAACTGCTAAGTTTTGTGAATTTAGCTATGAATTTGTGCACATGTAAGCACATACATTTATTAGTTTTTATTTGCTTTATTCGTTTTTAAGTTATTGTGCGCAACAACATACATATATGTCTACGCCGAGATGACTCCGTCAAGGGTTTACAGCCTCCATATCAAAGTTAATATACGCTTCACGAAGGTGCATGGTATATAAAAAAAGTGATATTTTCAATATTAACAAAAATATTCTCGGTTAACAACATTCTTTCTGTTTAACATAAAGTTAAACTTTCTGTTTAAAAAATATGAATATTTTGAGGAAGTTAGTATAAGGTGTTCTGAAATCTACGGAAAAGTTATATCAAATAAGAAATTAACAAATTACCAAACGAAAATAAACTTTTCACGTTTTGGTAAACATGTTCTGCCAGTTTTGTTTATCTTTTTTTGATTTGCAAGGTTCTTTCAGTATTGTGTTCTTTTCAAAAGTTTTTGTGATTGTTTATTATGACAATTTTTTTTTATGTTGATAAAGTAAAATTGCACACGAGTATTTAGAACTTTTTTCTTTTCTTTTATTCTTGTATTATAGTTCTTCTATGTCATATATATTGTGTTTTCTTAATAATTAATGAAAATCATTTGTCTAACAAATTTCCAAAAACCAAACTTCCAAACGCAAAGTGAGGATCATTACCCTAAAAAGCTGTTAACCCATTCGATTGAAAGAACATTCAATTGAAAATATGCTGAGTATCCCAAAGCTTGCTTTTGTAATTCAAAAATTAGAAAATTTAAAACATATTTCATTAATAAAAGATCATTGATTTTCATTAATTAAAGATCATTTACAAAACATAAATGCAAAGGATTATAGATTTTTTTCATAGAAGATTGGTATTGGGGTTTCTAAAACTAAGATTGGGTTTTAGGTAGTCCAACCTCGGTTTACGCAACATTAACTTATTATCAAGTCTGAAAAAATATCAAACTAATTTTAAATACATAGCTCTTAGGAATGTTAGA